AAATTGGGGAAAGATTGGGGGGAAATTGGGGAGAAATTCGGGGGAAAATTGGGAAAAAATTGGGGAGAATTTGGGGGAAAACTGGGGGAAATTTGGGAGGAAATTACTGGGAAATTTGGAGGGAAATTGGGGGGAAATTGGAGAAAATTTGGGAAAAACTGGGAAAAAATTGGGGGGAAATTGGGGAGAAACTTGGGGAAAATTGAGGGAACTCGGGTGGGAATTCAGGGAAAATTGGGGGAAAATTTGGGAAAATTGGGGAGAAGTCCAGGGAAAATTGGGGAGAAGTTCAGGAAAAACTGTGAGGAAATTTGGCTGAAATTGAGGGAAATCGGGTGGGAATTCAGGGAAAACTGGGGGGAAATTTGGGAAAATTCAGGAGAGGTTCAGGGAAAACTGGGGGGAAATTGGTGGAAATTGAGGGAAATCGGGTGGGAATTCAGGGAAAACTGGGGGGAAATTTGGGAAAATTGGTGGGAAATGCAGGGAAAATTCAGGAAAAATTCGGGGGAAATCGGGGAGAAAATCTCCTGGAAAATGCAGGAGACCAAATGTGGGGAAAATCGGGAAATGCGGATGTGGGTCACCTTGGAGACGGGGAAGGGCTCCGGGTGTTTGCGGTAGAGGCCGAGGACGGCCGGGACGAGTTTCGGGAGCTGCTCCTGGAGCTGCCGGCCCGGGATCAGCGAGCCCATGGAGCCCAGCGCCTCCAGCGCCGCCAGCCGCACCTGGAAAACGGGAAAATCCCGGAATTCTGACAGGAAATCCCGCGATTCCGGCAGGAAAATACAGAAAACAGCGGGAAAATCCCAAATTCCAGTGGGTAAATCCTGAACAGGGAGCTCAGGGGGCCCAGCACCTCCAGCCGCACCTGGAAAACGGGAAAATCCCGGAATTCCAGAGGGAAATCCCGCAATTCCGGCAGGAAAATATAGAAAACAGCGGGAAAATCCCAAATTCCAGTGGGTAAATCCCAATCAGGGAGCCCAGGGGGCCCAGCGCCTCCAGCCGCACCTGGAACTGGGAAAACGGGAAAATCCGGGAATTCCAGAGGGAAATCCCGCAATTCCAGCAGAAATCCTGCAATTCTGACAGGAAATCCCGCAATTCCAGCAGGAAAATACAGAAAACAGCGGGAAAATCCCAAATTCCAGTGGGTAAATCCTGAACAGGGAGCTCAGGGGGCCCAGCGCCTCCAGCGCCGCCAGCCGCACCTGGAACTGGGAAAACGGGAAAATCCGGGAATTCCAGAGGGAAATCCCATAATTCTGACAGGAAATCCCACAATTCCGACAGGAAAATACAGAAAACAGCGGGAAAATCCTGATCAGCGAGCTCAGGGGGCCCAGCGCCTCCAGCCGCACCTGGAACCCTGAAAAATGGGAAAATCCCGGAATTCCAGAGGGAAATCCTGCAATTCCGACAGGAAATCCCACGATTCCAGCAGGAAAATACAGAAAACAGCAGGAAAATCCCAAATTCCAGTGGGTAAATCCTGAACAGGGAGCTCAGGGGGCCCAGCGCTGCCAGGCACACCTGGAACCGGGAAAACGGGGAAATCCCGGAAAACAGTGAGAAAATGCCGGGAAAAAGCAGGAAAAGGCTGGAATTCCAATGGGGAGATCCCAGAAAAGAGTGGGAAAATCCCAATATCCCAATGTCACAATATCCCAATGACTCCAAACCCCAATCCCCAAATCCCATCCCAATCCCATCCCAATCCCAATCAATCCCAATCCCAATCAATCCCAATCCCAATCGATCCCAATCCTAATCCCATCCCAATCCCATCCCAATCCCATCCCAATCAATCCCAATCCCAATCAATCCCAATCCCAATCAATCCCAATCAATCCCAATCCCAATCAATCCCAATCCCAATCCCACCTTTCCATCGCGGGCCTGCAGCCACTGGAGGCTGAGGATGTCGAAGGCGGCTCCGAGCTCGAGGCCGAAGTCGTCGGCGCCGACGGTCGGGTCGGGGTCCTGCGTCCCCCCCGCCAGGTACTCCTGGATGCTCTCACTGAAACACTGCAGGGCTGTGGGAATTCCAGGAATTCCAGGAATTTTGGGGATTTTTTGGGAATTTTTGGGGAATTTTTTGGGAATTTTTTGGGAATTTTTCATGAATTTTTTGGATTTTTTAGAGCATTTTTGGGTGATGTCACCCAGGCCCTGCGCCCGCCCCGCCAGGTACTCCTGGATGCTCTCGCTGAAACACTGCAGGGCTGGGGGAATTCCAGGAATTTTGGGGATTTTTGGGAATTTTTGGGGAATTTTTGGGGAATTTTTCATGAATTTTTTGGGTTTTTTAGAGGATTTTTGGGTGATGTCACCCAGGGTCAGCAGCTGCCCCGCCAGGTACTCCTGGATGCTCTCACTGAAACACTGCAGGGCTGCGGGAATTCCAGGAATTTTGGGGATTTTTGGGAATTTTTGGGGAATTTTTGGGAGTTTTTTAGGAGTTTTTTTTGGCTTGTTTTTATAGGTTTTTTCGGGGTATTTCTTGGAGGATTTTTCTGGTTTTTTAATGGGGGATTTTTCCAGGGTTTTTTGGGGATTTTTCTGTTTTTTTGGGGGGATTTTTCTGGTTTTTTTTTGGATTTTTCTTTGGAATTTCCCCGGGGTTTTTGGGGGGATTTTTCCAAGGTTTTTAGGGGTTTTTTTCAGGTTTTTTGGGCACTTTTCCAGGGGTTTGTGGGAATTTTCTGGGTTTTTTTGGAATTTCCCCGGGTTTTTT